GCACCTGGCGTCTCCGCTGCCCCCAGCACGGGGTGCGCGGAGTTGGGCCTGACGCCGCCCGGACGTCTCGCTGCCTCGGGCAGCACAGAGCCCGTGGTCTGTGGTTTTGTAGCGCGCGCCAGGTCCCACGGCCCTGACCGTCTGGGGCCACGGCCGAGGGTACGTGCTGCCCGATGTGAGAGGAAGGAGCTCAGAGCCGCCGTCGCGAGGTGAGTTAACAGGCTCTCTGAGGCCAGGCTGGGGCATCGCCCGGCCGGCCGGCCGCTGGGGTCTTGGCCAGACAGTCTGAAGTGGTGAGGCCCACAGTGTCGGGGGGAGCGGGCCGGGCCCCCGGGGCGTGCACCGCCAGAGCCCACCTGGTGGCCGTCGCTGTCCTCTCGGCTCCAACGTGTCTCCTGCGCAGGCGCAGGCCGGAGACACCCGGACGGCCGTGGGCATCAAAGATGCAGCCTCCTGGGCCTCGCGGCAAAGCGGGAGGGCTGGCTCGGTGGGCAGGCCGGCAGAGGAGCCGCCTTCGCGGTGGGGCCACAGACCCACGCGTGCTGCCAGGTTTCGGGCTGAGCGCACCTGTCTGTGCAGCCCCCTCCGCTGGCACCGTGCCACACGCGGGGCTGGTACCTGCCCCCTCCCCGTCGCCTGGCATCGCCTGGCGTGATTTCCATTTCTTTTGCAGCCCTTACTTTGCTGTGCCTGTCTTCTCTGGCACGTCTTCTCTGGGCTGCCCCTCGCCCACGTAGCCTCAGGCAGGCCTGCCCACGCCGTTGCCTGCCCGTGTCCGGGGCGCCCGGAGCGGCCGGTCCCGCGGGGGCAGCGTGACCTCGGGCCTGGGTTTCCCGCCTCACAGAAGATCGAAGTCATTAACAGCAGAGATCTTTTTTCAGCTCCAGCAACCAAGTAACTGAGTCAGTTCAAGGAACAACAGTTTTTATTCCACTACAGAAATATACTAATAGAGCAAAGAATTAATTTATTAAAATATGTGCAAGCTAATATACAGAATATATGAGTAATTAAAAGCTAGTGTACCGATGAAAGTGAAGTCACCTACCGGTAGCTGACAAGTTAGGGTACCTTCTAGCAAACTTTAAATCTGGCAGTTAATGCTGAGGAGATGAAGGGTCCAAATGGAAAAGATGGGGGCGCCCGTGAAGAGTGAATTTTGGTTCTACACCAGCTTCACGGGATAGAGAAACAACGACAAGCGCTACATTAGTGGTGTGGAAAGCTACCCGGGGGGAGGCCCGCCGGCCAGGACGCAGGTGGTGCAGGGCTGACAAGTGGGGGCTCCCAGAGGCAAGGGTGGATCTTGCCCCGCACGTTGGGGTCACGTCCACCCTGGGGGTCTCGGGGGCGCTGACTCCACGCTCGCAAGGGCGTTACTTTTTCTTTTTCCCTGGCTTTGCCTTCTTCTTTTTCCCTTTCTCCTTCTCCTTTTCTGCTTTGCCTCCAGTTAAGGCCAGAGCTCTCTTCTTGCCCATCGGGGTTTTGGCGTACCAGTCCTGAAAAACACAGACGTTTAGGAAAATGTCAGGTGACATCGGCTCACTGGGATACTCTCAAAACTAAGAAAATCTTGCCAAGGAGGAAAGACCAGCCCGGCGTTAAACTGTGGGCACTTGGCGAATGTTTGCTAGAAATTCTTTCTCGGTGGGGTTTCCAGCCTGCAATTCTTTATCACTTGCAACTTCTACCTCAAGGAGTTAACAGTTTCAGAGACTCACAGGCCAACTCTAACCAACAACACTTCCTCACAAAGTCATCTTCTTCCTGGGACTTTACTCCTGGGTTTGTGGCACGCGACGACTCCCCTCCCCCTTGATTCCCACGCACCCCTGGAAGCTGGACCGGTGGTCAGATGTGAGCCATGGGAGACCATTCAGACACTCCGAGGGAGACGACTGGAAACAAGGTGAAAATCCCCAGACACCAGCAAATCGGTGACTGCAGCTGGCCCCGAGGTGGCGTTTTCCCCATAACCGTCACATTTTATTTGAAACCTGAGAAACGCTTTTGGGTTCTAACTTCGTGGCTGTGATCATCAGTCGAATGACTACAGCATTATTTATGAAGTCTCCCACTGATGGGCATGAAGTCATTTCCAACATTTTGTCATTGTGAACAATGTTGAAAACAGCAGTGCTCACAGATCTCCTTGTCCACACCTGAGAAAGCTTCTCTAGGGCACATGGATAGAACTTGTTGTTTCTGAGTTGCTCTTTGAAGTGGCCGTGACTGGGGAGCCAGCCCAGCTTTTGACCTTAACATGTCTTTTTTCGCTCTGTCCCGGCTGCTAGTTTAGCTGGGTATCAGTTTTCGGTGGGCAGCTGTCTGTCCTCGCACTTGGCAGATGCTGTCTCCCTGTCTGCTGGCATTTATTCTTTCGAAGAGGTGTCTGATTGCCCAGTGCCCTTTCTTCGTGGGTACCTGCTGTCCTTTCATGTCGGCCACTGACTTGTCCTCAGGTTCAGTCATGTACGTAGTGGCGGGTTTGTTTCTTCTGCTGGCAACTGGGAGTGCGTTTTTAATCTGAGGACTTACAGTACAGGGCAAAGTTTCCCTCCTCTTGAGCGGGCTTCAGAAATCAGAGGCCTGAGCGAGGATGCTGATCCTTTTTCTGGTCGCTGCAGTGCTAATATTGTGATGATTACAGGGACGTGATTTCCCCCCCTTGTGTTTCCAGGTGGGTAAAGAAAAGACCTCTGGGTGCAGAAAGGGACCCACTCGATTCCGCTTCATGGCCAGAGTCTGTGGTACACCAGGGGGCCTGGACGTGCGGCAGGCGCATGAGCCTGGCCAGGCACACAGCCCTCTGCGACTGCGTCTCCCTCACAGGGGCTTGGACGAGGTGAGTGTAAGGAATTTCCTCCAGGCCTGCAAGTGTCTGTGTACCTTTCAGAATGTGTGAGCGAATGAGAGAACTGCCTCTGTGGTGCCTCTTGTGACTCCTGTTGCAAGTGCATTGAAAAATGAAGTGTGTGGTGGTGAATACCGGGCGAGACCAGTGTTGACGCAAAATCCACCACTTACGGAACGGCTTTCTCCGTGCAAAACTGTCCGAGTAGATGAAATACCAGTGAAATCCAGTGGCGACCAAGAGATGGTGCGTGTGCCCGCCTGCGAGGGCGCGTCTGGGCGCGCACACACAGACGTGTGCACACATGCGGGGTGCGAGCCAGAGGTTTTGAACCTGCGACTCCGTTCTGCCATTGGGCTGCTAGTTCATGAGGTTACGGACCAGGATTAGGAGACTGAGAACACACACTGTGTGCAGGCTAAAAGACTGTGATCCCCGACGGCCACGCGGACGTCGCCCTTACCTTGAAGCTGTCCTCCTCCTCCTGGTACACCGGCTCCATGCTGGTCAGCGCCGAGATGAACTCGCCGGCAGTGAGTGGCTTGTGGGGCTGCTGCCGGAGCCTGCGCTCCGTGAGCACGCTCTGGGCCACGTGCACCATGTGCCCGGGGGTGAAGCCGTCAGTGACCTTCGCCAGGCAGCTGACGTTCAGGGAGTTGCTCAGCACGCCGCCGTTGTGCTGGATGATCTCCTTCCACAGGACTGTCGTGTCCAAGGCGGGGAGGAGAGAGAACAAGGGTCAGGACCCTCAGGAAGAGTGGGTGAAGCCAGTTCTGGCGCAGGCGGGCGCACGGAGAGTGCATGAGCCGGGGCCTCCATGGCGCAGGGGCCAAGTCCCAGCACGGTGAGCTGCCGCAGCCGCCGCAGCACGAGCCGATCCCCACCAGGGAGGGACCCCAGGGCGCAGCAGACCCCTCCTGTCTCCCCGCTGCCCCCCTCAGCCCCCCTCAGCAGTGCACTTTGTCGATAGGCCTGTCCTGCTCCCCACTCTGTCTCTGGGGAACCCTCTCACAGCCCCCACACCTCTGGCCTGTACCCCAGCTCTTATATGCATAAATGAATAAATCTTAAATAAAAATGAACACGAGACCCAGATGAGACCCAGATGAGCAGACAGCTGCCACCAAGTGTCCCTGGGTCCTGCACCCCCTTACACCCCGAATCCAGAGACGCGCAAGGCCTGAGCCAACAGCAGAGACTGATCCGGAACAGCAGAGAGGCTTTCGTGGGGCCGCTTGGGGTGTTCCCCAGCTTCCAAGGGTGGAAACTCACACAGGGCCGCTGCTTACCAGGACACTTTTCCAAAACACCTGGGAGGTCAGTGGGCGCTGAGGGGGTTAGTCACAGACTTCACCCCCACGTGTTTGTGGGTTCGGGACGCGGGCCCCAGGCCCGAGGAGTAAGGGGCTGAGCCACCCCGGGTAGCATGGAGCCCCGGCCTGCAGACGCGCCAGCCTTGACTGAACCCCTGCCCCATGGGGGCCCGGCGCGTCCCTGGGTTCCTGAGACCTGGGGGTGACGGCGATGTCTGGGGTGGCGGAACTGCTCCTGCGGTTTTCCTGCGCCAGAGGCTGCGGACAGCCGCACGCGTCCATCAGAGTCGAGCTCCAGGACCGGCATGAGCCTGTCGGCAGAGCGGCTGGAGGCGGCGGGGGCCTGGCCGGGCTCCACCGAGGTCAGGCGGACGCCCCTCACGCGTGCTGGCATCCCTGAGGAACACCCCGAGACCCGACCTGGGACGGAGGGCCCCGAGTGCCCGGTGCCGGTCCCCCAGGCCCCAGCCCACTCTCCTGCTCCCCTGCTGGGCCAGGCTGGGAGGGTGGCAGAGCTGCCCGGAGTCACAAGAGACGGGTGGTGGGTCACGGGTTACCCCACAACCCCCCCAGGCCTTCTCTGGTGCGGCCCTGCGCCCTGGCTGGGGGCGAGCACAGACTCATCCTGCAGGCGTGGCCTAGAGGCCGGAGGGCCCCGCCCGGCCCCAGCGCCTGCCCCCCCCCTTCCGTGACCCCTGGGGCCCGCAGGGCTGGTGCTGGCTTCTCGGCTGCTGGGGCAGCGGCCGACCACGGCTTCCAGTTACTACAGTCAGGCACTCCGTTGGGCGCGAAGTTCCCAGACTCAAACTAAGGCATCGGCTTCCGGGGGCCACGAAACCGACGCCGGGATCTTCCTACTGCGTTGTGTAACAGACCCGTCCCACGAGCCAGGCGGCCTCCTCGCTGGACCCTGGCCCCGCGTCTCATCTGAACAGAGCACAAGCCCAGACAAGGGCCCCCTCGGACGGAGGGCACAGGACACGCCCTACAGCGGGGCCCCTGGGTGCCCCCGGCCGGGAGCCACAGCTGAGACCTCGGGGATGGCATGGGGTGAATTGGTCAGGGGGCAGGCAGGGAGGGCCCGGGGCTCCCCGGAAACAAGCTCAGCTGCCCCTGCCCCCCACCCCCGCCAAGTTCCAGCAGCTCCCGCTGTCCGCGCGCTCAGAGGGTCCCCCCAGCAGGAAAGGCCTGGTGGGGCGGGGTGAAAGCTGCCCGCTCGGGGACGGGGCCCGTGAAGCCGCAGCGCGGAGGCCGAAAGGGCCGGCGCCCGAAGCCGCGTGGGGTCTGGGTCCAGACGCTTCCCCCACGCCGCTGGGTGGCCCCCAAAGCTCGCCGCCTTTGGAGGGTGGCCGCCTGCCCGGCGTAGCC